GGATTATGTGTAAGGAAAAAGTTTAGAATCATGCACTCTGGTAACAATAATATTAAAAAAAATCATTGAAATCGTTATATAAAATATAACGATATTGTTATATCAAATAAGATCCATTTGCGATTTATTGAAAAGGAAAAATTCGCAAAATCAATTAAAATTAAATTGAAGTTAACGAGGTAAGATTAGAAAATGGAATCTCGAGCAGGAAAAAAAGCAAACAAGTGAGAAGTGCACGGTCGCGTTACGTCAATGTCAATTATATGCGCGAGATAACGTTCGCGTTATTTTTATAATGATCTTCATCATTTCCTTTCTTCTTCTTTCTCCCGTTATCTGTCTTCACGAACGTGACACGCGATACATCTAACGAGTTTCGCAACACTCGATCAACCGGATGGCAAAGTTTGGTCCTCGGCGATCTCGCGATGACCGATGAGTCGTCATCGATACTGTCATGATATTCCTTGTCCTCGATCTGCTTGATTTTCATTCACTTGAAATTTGCTTCGTGAAAACGAGAAAGAGGAAGGAACGAAATCTGACAAAAGAGTAGATGAACGAATCGTCGAAAAAGAGAAAAAAATTGAAACTGGATAATTTAATTTATTCAACGTAAAAGTCTTTTTGTATAAATAAACATTTTTTATTATATATTAATAAATATACTTAGCATATTATACATATATTATGCATGTATTTGCAGGAGGCAAAAGAAAATGCGAAGAATAATTCTAGAAAATAAAACAAATACGATACAATAAAAATTGATATACAAAAATGTTGAAATTTATTTTTTAAATTATAAAGAATTTAATTTTGCATTAATGAGTGCAATGAATGAAAAAAATAACAGCAAAGTGAAAAAAATAAATGTTCATCATACTTATTCTCTGTCTTATTTCATTTAATGTAAAATTAAATTATTTGTAACTTAATAAATAAGTCTTAATGAATATTTTTGCATGATAATTTTTTTTTAATTTTTATAATAATAATAATATATCATAATTGAAATTTTTAACTTATTTCTTCCAAGCATCTTTTATATGATGATAACTAGAAATTAAAATTGAATAGATTTCTGATTCTATGAATAAATTTATAACAATAATATTTAATTACAATAATAATAATGATAATAATAAAAATATTCACGATTAAATGATAAAAATTGTTTTTTTTCATACGCACTCAAATTAATATTCATATCTTAATTGAATTAATTTTTAATTTTCTATAGAAAAATATTTTTTGACATTTAAAAGTTGTAAAGCTGAAAATTATTTCTAAAAATAATTTCTATCAAAATATATTCAACTCATCGAATCGATAAGATATAATTTAAGTGTTTATCGATCATTCGATATCTCAATTTATCTTTCTTAAATTTTAATTTTAAAAATAATAGTTTCTCAATTGCATTGGTCATTTACATAAATATTTTCATAACATAAATATATTTCATATTGCAAAATGATAAAATTTTCTTATATCTCTCAAATATCGATTTTATATTAATATTAATTTTATTTTGAGATCATTAAAGTTTGAAGTAAATACTTTTACATGATAAAATCTTTAATAATAATAAGTGTTTGTAAATCTGCAAAAATATATTGACAGATTATTCATAATAAATATAATAATAACAAAAATAATAAAGCCAATATCGACTGGAAAAATTGCAAATAAATTATAAAACATTATATATATGTTGTATATCATAGTAGCATCATATTATTATATCATAAATGCATAAAGATGCAATAAAAAGCAAAAATAGAATAATTTCAGATAAGATGACCTTGCGAGTAAAAGACTTGATCTCATAGATGTTATAAAACGTTCACATTATACGATATATTATCTGATTATACGATATATTATATTAATTATTTTTGATAATATATTATAACTTATATATGTTGTTTTTTGTTTATTTTTAATTGAAAAATTAAATAAGTTATATGTAATATAAAAATTGTACCGAAAATATGTACCAAAAACTTTTTATGTATTTTTCAACTACAATTTATTGAAAAATAATAATTTTTTGAAAATGCAATGCGTTAATATAATATTTAGAAATTATATTTATATTCGTGTAACATCATCATATAATAATTGAAAAAATAAGTTAGCCATTACTGTCTGATTTCCGATTTTATAAAATATTAAAAATACACTTAATAATTAATAAACATTTTTCTAGAATTATGACTGCTGAATATAAAAGAAAAAAAATATAGAAAATTATGGACGAAAGAGTCATTACTGAAGATCGTAGAGATAATTCAAAATGGCAGAATGAATATTAATATACAGTTTTTAATGTCTTTTGCATTTAGGAAACAGTAAAAAAAAAAGAAAAATAGCTTTATATATAAGAAAACAATTATTTTTTTTCTCAAAATTTATAATTATTTTTTGCTTTGTTCTTTAATATAAAATCTACAATTACCATATCTATAATATTATAAATCTATTTATATTGCAAATATATATATTTTTTTAAATATTAGACAAATTTATAATGTACTGATTATTTTAAAAAATATTTAAATTCGCAAATATATGTATTTCTTGTTTAGACATTAGATGAATTTTAGAACGATATATTAATTATTTTAAAAAGTGCGGATCATTTCAATTGGAATTATTTTATAATTACATTATTAATTTTAAATCAAGATCGTACATTCTATTGATTTGAATACATGTTTGCAAAAAAAATCAATTTTATTGCCTAATAAGAATCTTAATCTAATTTTATAGCAATCTAAATAGATATAAAATTCTAGAATGACATTCAAGTATTAAATTTCACGGATTATTAATGATTATTTATAGTTTTAATAAATAATGTATAGATCAAATATCGTTTTTCTTTTTATTTCGAAAAAATGTATATTATATTAAATATACATAAATAACTATAATAAACACATTTTGGGATAAGGAAAAAAAAAATTCCTGATATTTACCAAACTTCATTATCGATGAATGGTAACGATATTACTTTTGTCCTTGCGAGAGATCTCGACAGCGATAGAAGCGCATCGAACAATCTTATTTCGTATCATCCGATGTCCGTCGAAGCAATGTCGAAAAGTTAAAAGCCAATTACGTGGCATAAGCTCAATTACTTGTCTGGGCATCGAGCAGCTCGATCGATAATCCTGGTGAACGCGTAATACAAGCCTAGAGACTGAAAATACGCCGTTTTAAAGATCGAACGAGAATCACAGAGCGCTTGAAAAGAAAAAAGAAGCGTTGAACCGGGAATTTTCTGCGATTACGTCCGGTTGACACATAGCCGATAAGCGATCACATGACATAGTAAGGCTCAGAACTTTTTCGTTTAATTACTTTATCGAACGTGAAATTATCCGCAAAGGGATAAAAAGTAGCTGCAAATATTTGCTCATATTTTAGGTTTTTGCTTCTCATACACGAGGATTTTTCCATGATATTACGTTCAATAATTCGAGAATTTAGCGAAATGCGCGTGTATGCATATATATATGTATGAACGCGTGCTTTAGTCGATAATACGACGAATACACATATGCTACTATACGATAAAAAGAGAAAATAGAATAGATCTCATTATATTAGACTTATATTTAAATTTATAATCTATTTTTTCTCTAAATCTCGATATAGGAAGATTTCACGAATATATATGAATAAATATGAATCAAAAATTAATCTTTCTTTTCAAAGATTTCAAAGTTTTCCTTTCTTTCGTACCATATGATAACAACACCGTGTGATAGATCTCTAAAAAAATATGTATCAGTAATTCATAAGATAGAAAGAAATCATTAAAAGAAAATCAAAATAAAAATGAAAATACAATTCGTTGATTAAAAAATTATATGTTTAATTTCTTTATATATATTATTTAACTCTATATGTATTTATATATATCTCAATATTTTTCGTCATTGAATTTCGTCATTCAATTTTTAATCCAAAATTTTATTACCATTTCATTATTCATGGTAAAATGAAGGATCTTAAAATTCCTCTTGAGATGTGAAAGAAACTAAAAATTATGGGATACCAAATTAGGCAAGTGTGACGAATACAAGAAACTATAGTTTCTTGATTGTATCGAAAGTTGCGTGGGCGATGACATGATCAAAAGGGGAAATAAAGTAAATAAAATGAATCTTTGCATAATTTATAGTATGAATGAATATTTACAATCTGATGGCTCACGTTGCACTGCGTTGTTTCTTTTTCGAATTGTACGCGATATTACTTTTCAAACCACTCACGTACAGCGGATTGTTCATCTTTTGTTTTGTTTGAAAAGATTTCTATAGGGCAAAAGTTGAAATGATTCAAGATTTGAAATGTGGTGTTTGAAACGTTGGCATTATTCGGTCCAGGTGGAGATAGAATACTCCTAGGTACCGATACGGTATCCTTCTCGAACACACACTGCATCACGGTGATTCTCACGGGTACTATTTTTCCTTTGTTGCTTCCGCTTCTCAAACATGGGAGGTATACAGATATGTTGCAGAATCCTATCCATTTCCGGAGAAATATCATCATAGTTATAAATTTTAGTTACCAATTGCGATCCAACTTTTCCTTTCCCCGCGTAATTCGAGTTGGTGGTGGTCGTATTTTCCATCGTATCGACATCGTGATTCCCCACGGGGAATTGGCAATAACGATCAATTCGATCGAAAAGATCGTATGAACAGCAGCGCATCGTATTTAACTAATCTCGGTTTGATGTTCACGATACTTTCTTCGACGATTATTTTAACTTAGCGAACATTTTCTTTGCAAATGTAATTTTTTTATGGCGTTGCCATATTTTACTTTATCCTCGAGAAGTAATATTTCTGTAACGATAGCAACGTTTCCTGAACCGCGTGAATGAGATTACGGTAAATGAATCGGTGGAAAAAAAAAAATCGATGAATTCGTTCGAAGCGATGGCGTAACATTTTTTTTTTTTTTTTTCATCATAGCCAACGAGTAACCGGCGTTCGATCTAGCACCGCTTCTCGTTTTTTTCTTGTTCAATTCGAACGAATCGAAACGAATTCGATAACCGGTAACGCGATCCTCTCATTGCTAACATGCAATCGAGAAAAACATATTCAACATTTGTATTCGTTTGCGTTTATAGGAGACACGCGTGGCAACGAGTGTCCAGAGGATAGTGTTCAAGGGGAGGGCGGTGAGTGCAAATGCGCGGCGGCCATCGACTGTCCGTCGGTCGAGTGCGAATCGGGTCAACGTCGGATCCAGGTGAAGCCAGCCGATCTAGAAACACCGGGTAGCTGTTGTGCTCGTTACGATTGCCTGCCCTCAGGTAAGAGATCGAATTAAATGTCGCGTCGTGTCACGATCCATCGTCCGTTCCGGGACAAACTCATTCAAAGTGTCGCTTTATTTTCCATCGAAGACTCTCGAGAATCGGAGCCGTGCCCCGAAAATAGCGTGTTAACCGAGGATGGAAAGTGCGAGTGCGCGCCCTGTCCAAGGCCTACCTGTGAACCGGGACATCGTCCCGTTCAAGTGAGAGCTGCCCTGGATCGCGAGACACCCGGTAGCTGTTGCCCTCTTTACGAGTGCAAACCTGCAGGTAACAGATTTAAATACGTTCAATTATCACTTGCAATTGGTTCTAAATAGTAAAAATTCGAGAAAATTTGATCGATCGATTGATTGTTCATTAATAATCGTAAAACTGCATACAATCGCTAGAAACAATTGAATGATTGTATAGAGAGATTAAAATATACACAGTCCAATCTTTCAATTTTTGATTTTTAATAAATTATGTGAGAAATAATATAATTATATGAGTTGGTATATCTAATAAACATATCAATAAACATATCTGATTAAATAAAGATGATTTGTTATAATAACAATTGTAAAGTATTTTAATGTTTTTTTAACAAAATAATTATTATTTTCTAATGAAATAATAACAATGTTAAAAAAGTTGTAATGTCGCAAATTATTTAATATTTAATAAATTAAAGATTTTTTTTAATTAATTAAACAAATTATATTTATAAATATTTATAATTATTTATAGATAAATATACAAGTTAAATAAAACATAAAAATGATAACTTTTTATACAAACTAACGTTTTCTACTGATAGCTATTTAAATTTTTACATAAAAAGAACAAAAAGTTAGCTCAAAATGCTTATTTTGATTTGAATATTCTTCATAACCTTAAATTACTTATATATAAAAGAATATTGTTAGAAAAAATATTTACTTACATAACCAATTTTTCGATAAATGTTAATAATTTTTCAATAATATGCAATTGTTAGAAAAAATAATTGGTACAATAGAAACTACACAATAGAAACACTTTTTTCTTTTTGTGATATAAATACATATAGATTATTAATTGTTTAATTTTTATAAAAATCAACTGATTTGAATTGATAAAATTGAACTTAATTAATATATAAATATTAACATTTATCACTATTATTAAATTGCTAAGATATAGATTGATGATAGTTAACTAACTGTCAGGATACATTATTTCTAGTGATTGTATCCCAGTCTGTTCGCAGCTTAGAGAACTTATCGCCGCCAACTTTCAATTTAGATTGCAATCGTTTCTCTCTTTTTCCTTCCCATAATGTCCCATTTAAATGTATGGAAAAATAAGTTAAGATGGCAATCTTAAGCAAAAATAAACTTCTTTAACTCTTGTACGAAAAAAATATTTTAATAGATAATAAAATAATATTTTAACAACTTTTCTACGTTTTAATAATAATATGAATATTTATATATTAAAAATAATTTTACAGTTATGTTTGGTATGGAGATAATAAATTAATCTTGGATATGATATAAGATATTGAGATAAAATATTATATTAATTTAATGAATACAGTTTTGACATGTGAACAAGTTAATATTTTTATACTTGATGATTGATATTATTAGTTTAAGCATTTAAAGAATTGAATACAGTTTTCCAAAGAAAAATCATTAATAACAATATTATACTAATAAACAATTCTATGATTAAATTTATTTGTTAGATTTTTTTTAATCTAATTTTATAGATTTTAAATAAATAATTATAAAATACATGATAAATATAGAAAAATAGAAAAAGTCCATTTTATCGATTTCAATGATCTTGAAATATGTTGTTAAAATCAATATTCTGAATAATTTTTTCCAGCGCTAATTTTCGAAACATCAAGAAAAAATATTTTTCATTTTGCGCATAAGAATTACTTAATCTAGTACTTACATTAAATCAAGTTAATCTAAACTTACATTAAGTCTAATAAAAACTGTATCAAACTTTACTTACGATATGAAATACATTTCTACGTATATCTCAGAAACTGAAGCGAAAGGAGTATATGCATAACGAAAAGTTCTTCAAAATGTTGATCTTGATAACACATTTCAATGTCATTAAAATCGAAGAGAAATTTTATACATAATTACCAAGCGTTCAAATTATGAAGCGAATTAATGATGTACTAAAGTAATAAGTTTACTATCTTACTCTATACAGATTATATGGATAAATAATGTAAAAAATCAATATCTCGATTTTATTTTAAAGTTTTAAAATATTCTTAACGTTATATCGAATTTACTGTTCATGCAAAACTCATTTAAACTACTAAACTCAAATCTGCACGTCCTTTTACGTTAAAATAATTATATCATCGAATTGCTTGGCGAAAAAAAGCATTTATCATCGTAAATCTATCTATTATCTTATTCCAATCTCTATGCAAAAAAAAAAACAATTACTTTTGTTTGCTTCGCAGAGTCCATCTCATGGATAAAAGTGGCAACCGAGATGACGAAACCGCCTAAATATTGTATTTACGAGGGCAAAGCGAGAGAGTTGAACGAACGATGGCAGCCATCCGATTGTGTTAGTTGCGTCTGCCAGGAGGACGGGATGGTATCCTGCCAAGAATCAATGTGCAAATCCTGCGAGAATGCGATTCCTCCCGATCCTGGCGAATGTTGTCCGCATTGTCCACCGCTTACGAACACGACGTTCCTCCGATCGGAGATACCTTGTCAAACTTCTCTCGACGGTTGCGAGTTAACATGCGAACACGGTTACGCGAAAGACGAAAGCAATTGTCCCATTTGTAGTTGCGACAAATTCGAGGTATGTATTGGGGGTATAAATATTCTCGTAATCGTTCTTAGAAATATATTTATTAACATCGAAGAAATAAATGCATTCAATTTTCCAGCTTTAAGGAGATTAAAAAATAGTCACAAGGATATTAGGATATTATTATTGTTAGTATTTTTTGGAACGAAGTGTGTTATTTATCATGTGAAAAATCATATATATATAAAGCTTAACAATTTAATTTTGTACTAAAGTTATTGTATATAACAGATAAATGAAATTGTTTATTAAATCGTATATTTTGATACTGATTGATACTTACTATACATAATTAAGTAGTCATTAATATAACTTCGAATTAATATAATTTTTAATTGGATATCTTTCTAGGTCTATCAACTTTTTCACTTATTTCGAATTAATATAATCTTTAATTGGATGTCTTTCTAGATCTACAACTTTTTCATTTCACTTTTGACATTATTTTAATTTATTAAATTATATTAATAAAATAATCGATAATATAGAAACTAAAAAAGTAAAATATTCGATAGTACTTGCAGATAATTTATATCATTACGTTCATATTTTTTGATATTACATTTTTTGATCAACTATTTATACTTATATATAATATATATATAATATAACATATATATAATATATGTATAATAAAATTAACATATTACAAACAAAAAAATTAAATTTTTAATATCTCTTTTATATCAATATAAGAATCTTAAGCATTTTAATATTAATCAAAGTAATTTTTTTTAAAATCAATGAAACTACTTTCATTATCATTGAAAATGAAAATGAAGATTTTTGGAATGATATAGTTATCAACAATTTCAATTTTCAATTTCTGTTTTATTTTGAAAGCAAGTTATCCGAAAAGTTATATTATTAAATAAGTGAAATAATGTAAACAATAAGCTGACTGTAATATTCTAGATTATGAAAAGCTTGATTAATTATGGCAATATGCAACTTCGCATTATCACGAAAAAAAAAAACTTTTCAATGTTTTGATTGAAATGAATTTTCTTTCAATGCAAACAAAAGATTGATAATTTATTTTAAAAATAACAAAAACTAGTTCGTTGTAAAAAAAGAATTTGATACTTCGATTAAAACTAATTATACCTAATTTCTTCTATGTTAATAAATACAGTCTTCTATATTAATAAATATATGCTTATAAAAGTAAAAATAAATTAATCATTTACGAATTTATTTATATTTTTCTCTATCTAAAGCGAATAGATTGTGAAACTAAAAAAACAGAAAAATAATAATTCATATATTAATTAAATAATAAATTTTTTTCAAATATATTTAAATAAAGATCAAATAAAAATAACAAATAAAAAAAAAATTGTAAATGATTAATTTATTTCTTAATTTTTATCAGAAAATATATATTTTCTTATAAAAAAAATTACAAGAATTTTTTATAATATACACATATAAACATATGACAATATATGAAATACAATTTTTTATCATCAATCCCATATTTTTCTACTTTTCAGAAAAACGATGTGATAATAACGGATCGTCCTACTACTAATGACGAATCCAAAAACATTTGTCCAAAGTTTCACTGCGATTTCGGTTGCAAGATCGTAAAGGACGAAAATGATTGCTCGATCTGCGATTGCCAGACTTTTGAACAATCTACCACTGATACTGTAGTTATCGACGATGCCGGAAAAAAGATTTGTCCCGAGGTGAAGTGCGATTTGCACTGCGAACGAGGATTGGTTATGGACGAAAACGACTGCACATTTTGCAAATGCCGAACGCCAGAATCGACAAGTTGTCCACCTTTAATCGGATGCAGAAAACGATGCGCATTTGGTTACAAAACGAACAAACGCGGCTGTTCTGTAAGTAGATACAGTTGTTTCCAGTGTTCCTCTGTTGTTTAATTTAAATAGTTACAGACGCTGAAACATATTGCAAACATCGATCGAAATGGTGGATTTAAGTCACACGATGCTGAAACATTATTGTATTTTCGTTATATAATCTATTGATTTAAAATTTTCATTGCTTAGGATCATTTTATAATCAATCAGTTTTAAAAGAAAAATTTTATAAGAAAAAATTATCTTAAAAATAAAAATATTAAGAATACAATCTAAAAATTCTGATTTAAAATAAAAATTTGTGTTTTTATTAAAACATAATGTATTATACATATAGCAATTTTTTTTCGATTTAAAATCTCTTTGAATACGCGAAATCAAATTTTATCATTTTTCGAATGCACTTTTGCCCGAGTATATTTTATATGTATTTCATAATTCAAAATCTTTATCTCATATCACAAAGTTATTTTAAACATGAAAATAATACTAGAATTTTAAGAGTTGAAAATAATACTAGAATTTTAAGAGTTGATATTACTCTTTTAAAATATGATATTCTATTTAATAAAAAAAAATTATAAATTATATATTTATACATAATTTATTATAATTTATTGTATGCTTGTCCATATAATATTATATATAATAAAATAATTATCGTTGGTTTTAATAAAAAAAAATTTAAACTTATTTCGCATAATTTATATGAAAACTTTTATGATTAATTATACGTACAATCATAAACATCTTTCCTTATCACAATGAAAATAAAAATTAATTTAAAATTGACATTGAACAGATTCACATAATATATACGATATATTAACTATTGAAAGAAACTCGGAAATAATTAAGAAATTAAAAAAAAGTGACAATGCTATAAAATTGGCAAAAATACATATCTATAATATTGAAAAATCCATCATCATTGACATTAAAAAATAGAAGGTTGAAATGAAAAATTATTTTCAAAGCGCATTCTTTACATATTAAAAAATGTGTAAAATTTGACAGCTAAAAAATTATAGAATTTTAAATTTTATAAGATTGATATTAAATAAGAGTATTATTTATATCTCTCCTTTTTAATATAAATTTTTTAATATTTTCGGATAATAGAGACACATACTATACATTACATATACATTACATATACATAAGCGAAATGGTCTTCTTGATATTATTCATAGATGTGCCGATGTCGTGCTTTCTGCGTGGACCACGTGAACGGAACGCATCCGGAAGGATCGACTTGGCATCCGAACTCGTGCACCTCGTGCACCTGCGACACGGGAGGGAAGCTCAGTTGCAAAGAGACTGTTTGCTCGATAGCTTGCAACGATCCGTTGCCTGCTAAACCTGGAACTTGTTGTCCGATTTGTCCGATCGCGGTAAGTATTCTGGCTAAGTTTCATCTCGAACGTATCGATAAATCGATTCTTAATAATTTCTCCTTTCTTCGTTCCTTTCTTATTTTCAGCCGACGAAAGGAAACGGTGCGACGAATGGCGGTCATCATCAAGGCAAAGGATGGGGCACAGTGCCGATCATCTTGATCACAATACTCTCCTTGTTCTGCCTGATGCTCATCGTCCATATTCTTCACAGTCGATTCCGAGCCCGTCTCTCACCCTCCGAGACTTCTTACTCCATCTACCCTCCTCAGTACTATAAATGCGTGCCAGTGTATGACACGCCGGTGCATCGAAACGAGAAAATTGTACCCTTGTAAAAGACTGTTTGGCAAACCGGGGAAAACGTGAGATATTCTTGGACAGACGGAGTTTACGTGCGGCGGCCTCCTCGTGCGCGCCGGCAATAAGAGAAGAACGAAGACCAAAGCAGAGAAGTGTAGAGGAGAATGAAACCACACTCTGCTGCCAACAACAAGTCCAAACTTGACGTTTTACCGGTCCAAAATACCATATTGTAGATTCAGTATTATTTATAAGTAGCGGACGGTTTTACGATTGTAAGAGAAGATAACTGAGATGTATAGGCCGATGCTTCGTGAACCACGGCTGTCGGTACCCTCTCGAATTCCTCTCCCCTCTCCCCCCTTCCCTCCCTCGGCTCTAATTCGATACGATATCGTGTTACGATATGTAAATTGTAATACAAAATACGATATGTAATACAGAAGCTAGCGTAATTATCACAGAGAAGGATATGAGAAAAGTATAAATACGCTAACGAGATAAACGTAGATCCTAACTCGATCGAGAATCGTAGAAGAGAGAAGCAGGTGTCTTAGTTTATAGTATTAGTTCCCTCGATCTCTGGACCATGTGTTGTGTTTCGTATCGCGATCACGAAACTTCGTTTCCGTTCTTTGGCAAT